AACACTTAACATGAAGTAGGATTCTGTTAGGGACATTTTTATCTGAATGTAATACCTGCATTTGGCTTTAGGATTTAGCAAGCAGTGAGAAACAAACAATAAGTAAAGATTGCCTTCGCACATTATACTCGTACATCCTTGTAATGGAGTCCTACTTTCCAATCCAGCTTCACTGGACCCTCTCACTTAAGCCACCTCCTCCATCTCCTTCTACTCCAAGTTAGTTACAGAATGAAAACATAGCCATGGTTAGATATGCAGATTTGTCTCTCAATCAAGATCTCATCTGCAGGATTTCCCACACAGCTTCTCAGTTCCCAGCGGGAATATTTATTCCAGATTGGCTGCAGGGTCTATTTTTCAGAGATCAGTTATTGGAAATGCAGGTAAAACAATGGGCCAAATGCTTGGGTCATTCTTTTTCTGATTATATCCTGGCCATTTGGGCATGTTCTTGCAGAAGAAGAAAGAAGGATGAAAGGCATATGTTTTCAAGTGGGAAAAGAATATGAAAAAAAGGGATGGCAGAAAATAAATAAAAGTTCCTTACTGGAAGTCTATCAGAACCATCTCCATTCTGTCCCTAAAAGAAAAACATAAAAAGAACCATTTTACTCTGACATGATAACATCCATGACTTCTCCAATCAGGCCTTCCGCACCCCCTTTGGTATCTTTTTCATTCATTAATTCATGGTTCAGATAAAAATATATGTTATTTCACACAACATGCAGTGAGAGAAGACAAAAAGATGCACATGGATTAAACCAGGGGTCTTCCAACTTTTCAAACAGGGGGGGGGGATTCATGGTCCTTCAGGCTGTTGGAGGGACTGGACCAGCTTGGTTGGCGTGGCTAGTTGGTCATGTGACTGCGTAGGCGTGGCCAATTTCACAGTCCAAACAATACCCATAAAGGAAAGTTTAATTTGTTGTGCTCCTAGGGGTGGAAAGCAGGTTAGTGATGGGAGGTGGCTGTCTTGGGGTGTGTATGAGGGACTTCTGTTTCTCTTGCTCTCTCTCTGTCTTGCACTCTCTCTCCCCCTCCGACCTTCCTCCCTCTCCCCCTCTCCTGGGGAGGCAAAACACGGATTAGATTAAGAATTAACTTTCTTAATCTGCTACAATATCATCCATGATTTCTCCAACCACCCTATCACTAAAAACGTTAGTGTCCTGTTGTGGGCCAGCAGGAGCCGTTGGAGCTGCCACCAGACTCCGACAGCGAGGGGCCCTATGAGTCAGCCCTGGAGGATGTGGAGGACACTGCACAGGGTTCCAACTCCAAGCAGGACTCAGAGAGACTGGTTGGCCACCAAGTGGCGCCTGAGTCTTGGATCAGTGGGGAGGAGACAAGAGAGAGTGATCCAGAAACCAACTGTGAGTTGTTCCGGGATGCACGCCGTCGAAGG